TTTGTCACCTGCAGCAGAAAATTGAGTTAATGCACAACTAAAGGCAGCCAGGACTGTGTAATATCAACTTGATTACATCAAACTAGCTGCAAACCTAATTCTGCTGGATGACACTGCGTCGAGCTTGTCATCTCCAATCATTAAAGCTGTCAGGAATCCATCAGGTTTACAGCTAATTAGGTGAACACTAATGAAGCTGGCAAAACAACTTTTCTTTTTTTATGGCTGAGCGGACCTTTCAGTTTGGAGGGGAAAAAAAATTCTCGAGTATTCTCAAGGTTGCTGGGGACTGGATTTCCAGTTACCAATCAGCAGACATCTTTCTTTTTCCCACTCTCTATCAGTACAAAGCAATCAATTTGTCATCACTCTCAGTATGCCACAAAAGCAGGCAGGAACCTTATAACTTGCAGCTGTGAGAACTGAAAAAGGAGGGAAAAAAAATGGGAAGTTTCTTGTCCATCCAAACAAACAAACAGCAACAAAAAAGAAAAATCCTCACATAGTTCACTTATTGGCCTGTGCATACTTATCGCCAGCCTAATGTGGAAGGTTTTTTTTTTTTCTTTCCCTCTCCACTCTTCTTAAATAAGTAGCCCTTCAGTCATTCTCCACCCCCTCCTCCACACGTCCATTAGGCAGAGGCATTCTGATAAAGTAAATCCAAAACCAGGGTATGGGAAAGAAAGAAACCACTCACGCTGCCAACTTCTGATTGACCATTAAGCTATTGATGAATGTGCCTGTCAGGAGAGAGACAATTAAATCAAATATGAAACAAAGTCGTTTTGACGGGTCATTTTGATAGAGCAAAACCATTCTTCCATCTCCTATTAGTCGTGCAGTCAAGTTTTTATATAATGAATTTTTCTTAACTGACCTGAGATTTCCTGGCTGGCTTTTTAAAAGGTGCAAAAAGGTTAGTGAACAGGTTGCTTTGAAAAAAATAAAATAAAATAAAATAAAAACAATAGTACGTTCTCCCCTTCTCTAATAATTTCAGAAGAAAGTTATCAAATAAGGAGTCTCGGAGGGGCAATGTGGAATCAAAATGATGAACTGTAGAGAGTTCGAAACCAAATGTGAAGATGTAATCACATATGGTTCATTTGATTGAGGCACTCGGATACCTTAAAATGTGTATCCAAAAAAAAAAGAAAAAAAAATCTCAAAAACTGGAAGAAGCCCAAGGCATTCCTACTACCCAACTTTGTGAAGGATTCCTCCAAAGTTTTAGAGTTTATTTTGGGTAGATAAGCTCATTGCCTGAGCTTGGAATTTAAAGTAGAAGGTAGGATGAGCAAGAAGCATCAGTGAGGTGAGCTGGGAGGTCACACTCTCCCTAAAGCACTACTGGAATTTTCAAACTTTCTAAATTTGGGCAACACTGAGGACAGAAAGCAAAACCTGCATTATATGCACCAAACCAACTCTGTTTTCTCCTAAGATTTTCTTAAGACATTGACAGGCAAGCACATTTTCCGAGAGAAGAAAAAACATCATTCCCTCTCTGTGACCCTGTGTAAAGAAACTGGAGTCCTGAGTGCAGCCAACGTGGGAGCTCCACTGGCTGTGCCCGCTGGCCTGATGGAAATCATCATCACCAGAACCACCATGAGTAAGACCAGCACTCAGGGTACCTATGCCCTGACCCTTCTCTCTGCCCTCCCCTCTTCCATCAAAAGAGAAGTGAAAGGAAAGAAAAGAAGTGAACCCCTAGGTAACCTTCTCCTTCAGGCAGCATCTGAACCACTGCACATCAGAGTGTTACTCATATCAAAATACATCACGTCCATATGTGGTCTTCTCGCAATCCGCCCCCAAATCCCCGAAGTTGCACTGACAGGGCCCTCCTGACGTCACAGAGCTTGGCCTCACTATTGCAAGTGATTTATTGATGTTTATTGGGAATGAATAGATCAAAGGCAGCAGCATGACGGGCGATCAATCAGTCATCAAATCAAGGGTGGCAAAGGGCCAGAAACCCTCCTTCCAGGCAACATGCCCCGACCAACATTATTGCAAAATAATGTTACGTGTGTGGGTTTTGTTTTGCTTTCAATGATGCTTTTTTCCAGAAAAGAAAAGAAAAATCAGTTCAGTCTTAACAGGAGTTGACACTCCTGGCAAAAAAAAAAAAAAAAAAAAAAGGTGGAGGGTGGGGGGAGTACTCAAACGTGTCCCAAAACTAAGTGTTCTGAGATGAGGGTAGGAGAAGCAGTGGAAGGAGGGGAGGGGGTAAAGGGACACAAACGGGAGTAGAGGAAATGCCAGCACTGAATACTGACTTGACAGTCATCTGACAATACCCAGACCCTGTGCGCTCTGGTTTTCCACCGCTGTGCCGGGTTTGGGCCCAATAAACGAAGAATCAATCGAATTAGCAGTAAGGTGGCCAAAGGGACACGCTCGCTCACTCGCTCTCAGTCTCTCTTTTGGCAGACACCGGGCAATCCCCTGCCGGTCCGCCGCGGAGGACACCGAAGGTGTCCCAGGGAACTCAGGTGACCCCGCCCGCCCCCCACCGAAAGCGACAGACCAGGGCTCCTTCCCATCCGCTCTGCAGCCAGAGAGCGGGGGAGGCGCGGACCCATCTCCGCTCAGTTCGCCCGGAGCGCGGTCCCGAAGTGGATGCGAGCGGGAAGGGGGGCAGAGCGCAGCGGGGCATCCGGGGGGCGCCGGGTACCGAGGCGGACGCACGCACCCAAAGAGAAAAGCAGCGAGCAAGCCGGGCGCCCGGAGTTACTCTGCGCCGGCAGTGGGAGAGCGGCATGGAGTGAGGCGAAAAGCGGGGTTGCCGGCG